GAGAGAGAGAGGGAGAGACGGCCGAGAGAGAGAGAGGGAGAGACGGCCGAGAGAGAGAGAGAGAGAGAGGGAGAGACGGCCGAGAGAGAGAGGGAGAGACGGCCGAGAGAGAGACGGCCGAGAGAGAGACGGCCGAGAGAGAGACGGCCGAGAGAGAGACGGCCGAGAGAGAGACGGCCGAGAGAGAGACGGCCGAGAGAGAGACGGCCGAGAGAGAGACGGCCGAGAGAGAGACGGCCGAGAGAGAGACGGCCGAGAGAGAGACGGCCGAGAGAGAGACGGCCGAGAGAGAGACGGCCGAGAGAGAGACGGCCGAGAGAGAGACGGCCGAGAGAGAGACGGCCGAGAGAGAGACGGCCGAGAGAGAGACGGCCGAGAGAGAGACGGCCGAGAGAGAGACGGCCGAGAGAGAGACGGCCGAGAGAGAGACGGCCGAGAGAGAGACGGCCGAGAGAGAGACGGCCGAGAGAGAGACGGCCGAGAGAGAGACGGCCGAGAGAGAGACGGCCGAGAGAGAGACGGCCGAGAGAGAGACGGCCGAGAGAGAGACGGCCGAGAGAGAGACGGCCGAGAGAGAGACGGCCGAGAGAGAGACGGCCGAGAGAGAGACGGCCGAGAGAGAGACGGCCGAGAGAGAGACGGCCGAGAGAGAGACGGCCGAGAGAGAGACGGCCGAGAGAGAGACGGCCGAGAGAGAGACGGCCGAGAGAGAGACGGCCGAGAGAGAGACGGCCGAGAGAGAGACGGCCGAGAGAGAGACGGCCGAGAGAGAGACGGCCGAGAGAGAGACGGCCGAGAGAGAGACGGCCGAGAGAGAGACGGCCGAGAGAGAGACGGCCGAGAGAGAGACGGCCGAGAGAGAGACGGCCGAGAGAGAGACGGCCGAGAGAGAGACGGCCGAGAGAGAGACGGCCGAGAGAGAGACGGCCGAGAGAGAGACGGCCGAGAGAGAGACGGCCGAGAGAGAGACGGCCGAGAGAGAGACGGCCGAGAGAGAGACGGCCGAGAGAGAGACGGCCGAGAGAGAGACGGCCGAGAGAGAGACGGCCGAGAGAGAGACGGCCGAGAGAGAGACGGCCGAGAGAGAGACGGCCGAGAGAGAGACGGCCGAGAGAGAGACGGCCGAGAGAGAGACGGCCGAGAGAGAGACGGCCGAGAGAGAGACGGCCGAGAGAGAGACGGCCGAGAGAGAGACGGCCGAGAGAGAGACGGCCGAGAGAGAGACGGCCGAGAGAGAGACGGCCGAGAGAGAGACGGCCGAGAGAGAGACGGCCGAGAGAGAGACGGCCGAGAGAGAGACGGCCGAGAGAGAGACGGCCGAGAGAGAGACGGCCGAGAGAGAGACGGCCGAGAGAGAGACGGCCGAGAGAGAGACGGCCGAGAGAGAGACGGCCGAGAGAGAGACGGCCGAGAGAGAGACGGCCGAGAGAGAGACGGCCGAGAGAGAGACGGCCGAGAGAGAGACGGCCGAGAGAGAGACGGCCGAGAGAGAGACGGCCGAGAGAGAGACGGCCGAGAGAGAGACGGCCGAGAGAGAGACGGCCGAGAGAGAGACGGCCGAGAGAGAGACGGCCGAGAGAGAGACGGCCGAGAGAGAGACGGCCGAGAGAGAGACGGCCGAGAGAGAGACGGCCGAGAGAGAGACGGCCGAGAGAGAGACGGCCGAGAGAGAGACGGCCGAGAGAGAGACGGCCGAGAGAGAGACGGCCGAGAGAGAGACGGCCGAGAGAGAGACGGCCGAGAGAGAGACGGCCGAGAGAGAGACGGCCGAGAGAGAGACGGCCGAGAGAGAGACGGCCGAGAGAGAGACGGCCGAGAGAGAGACGGCCGAGAGAGAGACGGCCGAGAGAGAGACGGCCGAGAGAGAGACGGCCGAGAGAGAGACGGCCGAGAGAGAGACGGCCGAGAGAGAGACGGCCGAGAGAGAGACGGCCGAGAGAGAGACGGCCGAGAGAGAGACGGCCGAGAGAGAGACGGCCGAGAGAGAGACGGCCGAGAGAGAGACGGCCGAGAGAGAGACGGCCGAGAGAGAGACGGCCGAGAGAGAGACGGCCGAGAGAGAGACGGCCGAGAGAGAGACGGCCGAGAGAGAGACGGCCGAGAGAGAGACGGCCGAGAGAGAGACGGCCGAGAGAGAGACGGCCGAGAGAGAGACGGCCGAGAGAGAGACGGCCGAGAGAGAGACGGCCGAGAGAGAGACGGCCGAGAGAGAGACGGCCGAGAGAGAGACGGCCGAGAGAGAGACGGCCGAGAGAGAGACGGCCGAGAGAGAGACGGCCGAGAGAGAGACGGCCGAGAGAGAGACGGCCGAGAGAGAGACGGCCGAGAGAGAGACGGCCGAGAGAGAGACGGCCGAGAGAGAGACGGCCGAGAGAGAGACGGCCGAGAGAGAGACGGCCGAGAGAGAGACGGCCGAGAGAGAGACGGCCGAGAGAGAGACGGCCGAGAGAGAGACGGCCGAGAGAGAGACGGCCGAGAGAGAGACGGCCGAGAGAGAGACGGCCGAGAGAGAGACGGCCGAGAGAGAGACGGCCGAGAGAGAGACGGCCGAGAGAGAGACGGCCGAGAGAGAGACGGCCGAGAGAGAGACGGCCGAGAGAGAGACGGCCGAGAGAGAGACGGCCGAGAGAGAGACGGCCGAGAGAGAGACGGCCGAGAGAGAGACGGCCGAGAGAGAGACGGCCGAGAGAGAGACGGCCGAGAGAGAGACGGCCGAGAGAGAGACGGCCGAGAGAGAGACGGCCGAGAGAGAGACGGCCGAGAGAGAGACGGCCGAGAGAGAGACGGCCGAGAGAGAGACGGCCGAGAGAGAGACGGCCGAGAGAGAGACGGCCGAGAGAGAGACGGCCGAGAGAGAGACGGCCGAGAGAGAGACGGCCGAGAGAGAGACGGCCGAGAGAGAGACGGCCGAGAGAGAGACGGCCGAGAGAGAGACGGCCGAGAGAGAGACGGCCGAGAGAGAGACGGCCGAGAGAGAGACGGCCGAGAGAGAGACGGCCGAGAGAGAGACGGCCGAGAGAGAGACGGCCGAGAGAGAGACGGCCGAGAGAGAGACGGCCGAGAGAGAGACGGCCGAGAGAGAGACGGCCGAGAGAGAGACGGCCGAGAGAGAGACGGCCGAGAGAGAGACGGCCGAGAGAGAGACGGCCGAGAGAGAGACGGCCGAGAGAGAGACGGCCGAGAGAGAGACGGCCGAGAGAGAGACGGCCGAGAGAGAGACGGCCGAGAGAGAGACGGCCGAGAGAGAGACGGCCGAGAGAGAGACGGCCGAGAGAGAGACGGCCGAGAGAGAGACGGCCGAGAGAGAGACGGCCGAGAGAGAGACGGCCGAGAGAGAGACGGCCGAGAGAGAGACGGCCGAGAGAGAGACGGCCGAGAGAGAGACGGCCGAGAGAGAGACGGCCGAGAGAGAGACGGCCGAGAGAGAGACGGCCGAGAGAGAGACGGCCGAGAGAGAGACGGCCGAGAGAGAGACGGCCGAGAGAGAGACGGCCGAGAGAGAGACGGCCGAGAGAGAGACGGCCGAGAGAGAGACGGCCGAGAGAGAGACGGCCGAGAGAGAGACGGCCGAGAGAGAGACGGCCGAGAGAGAGACGGCCGAGAGAGAGACGGCCGAGAGAGAGACGGCCGAGAGAGAGACGGCCGAGAGAGAGACGGCCGAGAGAGAGACGGCCGAGAGAGAGACGGCCGAGAGAGAGACGGCCGAGAGAGAGACGGCCGAGAGAGAGACGGCCGAGAGAGAGACGGCCGAGAGAGAGACGGCCGAGAGAGAGACGGCCGAGAGAGAGACGGCCGAGAGAGAGACGGCCGAGAGAGAGACGGCCGAGAGAGAGACGGCCGAGAGAGAGACGGCCGAGAGAGAGACGGCCGAGAGAGAGACGGCCGAGAGAGAGACGGCCGAGAGAGAGACGGCCGAGAGAGAGACGGCCGAGAGAGAGACGGCCGAGAGAGAGACGGCCGAGAGAGAGACGGCCGAGAGAGAGACGGCCGAGAGAGAGACGGCCGAGAGAGAGACGGCCGAGAGAGAGACGGCCGAGAGAGAGACGGCCGAGAGAGAGACGGCCGAGAGAGAGACGGCCGAGAGAGAGAGGGAGAGACGGCCGAGAGAGAGAGGGAGAGACGGCCAGGAGAGACAGCCGAGAGAGAGAGAGAGAGGG